AGTGTTATATGCAATAAAATTATTTATAACTGTTTTGTTTTCTTCATTCTAAAAATAAATAAAATATTATCCTCGGTATTGTGTCATTTTTCTGTGTATCGTAATACAGTAACCATCATTGCATCAATCAGCTTCAGTACCTGACTGTTCTCATGTTTTTGTTTCTGTTTATATAATCTATCTTCTCTCTGTGAGTACTTAACACTTTGTAAATTAAGGGTATCTTATTTGAAACTGTTGATGTTGGCTTTAATTGCAGTACAACTTGATCATCAATACACGTGATACTTTTTTCTTTTTGTGTATTGATTACCTGACCACGTGACTTTTACAACTGATGCGGTATTTATAGATAACATTGAGGAGGCCCAATGAAGGATATTGTTTTAAAACGTGTAAAATCTACTGAACAGTAATAACATTTTTCTTTGGGACAATTTCCCAACCTGATTTAGAAAATAAGAAGAATAAATAAAAACATACTCAGTTGATAAATCATTTTTAAAAACTAATTTTCAGTTCACCAGCTTTGAGGTATGATAAGTACAAAATTAAATGTTTTTGCGTAGCCAGATCAGTTGACTCGTCGATCATAATTCCCACGGCGGGACTTAACTTTACGTCGGACATCACCTCTTTCTCTATAATATCGGAAATTGTCTGAATAAATTCGGAGCAGGCATTGTTCTCTTGATGTAATTTAGAAGTGATCACGGCACCATTTATTTTAGTTAAATCATTTATTGACTGAAATTTGTCCATTGGTAAGTTTTCTTTAGCAATAAAGTAAGCATTAGGGAACAATGTGCACATTGCGTTGTCAGTCTTTTCATGAACTTTCTCAAATACTGATACAATTGGATTACTTTTGGAAGCTGTCTCTAATTTAAGAGCTTGAACGTGGTCATTGCTATTAGCATGCTCTACAACGGCTGACTTTCGAAAAGTTATTTTTAAGTTTATGTTTTTGACAAATGTCACAAAACATGGCATTTAGCATACTGTCAAATCTTAACCATAAAAACAGTTGTAACCATTTATGAATAAAGCTTCTAGCATTTTTAGCAGATTTCGAATTTTGATCGGAATCGTCACGTTTACGTTTGCCCATGATGGCAGATTTGTAAAGATCAATTTGAGACAAAGTCTTTATAACAGTCGGAGATTGTCATGATTGGATATTCTTCTTTATGATTTCAATTATAAAAACAGTTTTTAATATGAAAACAAGAATAGAGAACGCCCCCCTTATTTATTGGACAACTCAGCTATTCTCGGTGTTTTTCCTATATATTTCAATAAATTTTCCCCTTCAGAGTACCCCAGTATTTAACACGATGTACAGTGTTAAATAAAATGATATATATCATACTTATTCATTTATAAATATCCTTATTTGAAGAATAACTTTTAAATATCAGGATACTTTTTTAAACTGAATGCTCATTTAAAATAATATCTATAAAGCGTAATTAAATAGGATGTTGTTCCATACACGCTTACATGTTTGACCTCGTTTACCTGATCACCTTTATGTACAGTGTTATGCATCATTAATTCTATTGATAAAGACAAGCTAAGGACACCTCATCAAAGGTTTCAAATCTGTAATCAGTGAATGATTTATGGCTTCAATAAAACTTATTGAAGGGATAATTGTTTGACAGCTTGTTGTTATTTAAATAAAAGAAAACGTGTTTATATACTTTTTATTGATGTACACAAACTAAAGACCAAGCGGTACATTTATGTACCCAGAGGATTTGACTAACTGAGACACTTCAAAGTATCTGAAATATGCTGCATCTGTTTTATTAAACCTAATTATGACCGAAATATCTTTGTGAAATAGATTGCCACAATTATAAACTAAAATGCTCAAACGGACATGCCCAAAGCGCCAAACGGACATTTTTATCGATCGATAGTTGGTAAAAATTGAAATGACCGTTTTATGAAAATGCCTTGAATAACAAAAAAGTGGCAAACCAATTCTATTTGACCATTTGAGGCTGAGAGCAGCCGGACTTTTTATGAAAGTTTCGGTCAAGTCCGGAATATATGACGGTTTTGGAAGCCCTGTTGTGTATCCATTATATGTATTAGTTGTTTTGGGATATTGAAAGTCCCTTCCAACTCTCCCACGTTATAAAATAGGAAAATGTCAATATAGAAATTTTTAACACACATTTTTTATAGAGTATTCAAAAAAAGGCACAAAAATGTGAGATTAATAATGGTGATTTCAGGAAATGTTGCATACACAAAAATGCTTTGAGAATTGAAAATTTCCTGTTACAACTTTGGCAATAATAAAAATATTGCAATTAATTTTCAAGTTACAGTAGCCTGTTCCTAATTTTTATACGACCGCAAAAAAATTTTTGTTGTTGTATATTGGTATGACGTTGGCGTTGTCGTCGTCGTCGTCCGGCGTCGTCCGAAGACACATTGGTTTTCGCACTCTAACTTTAGTTTAAGTGAATGGATCTCTATGAAATTTTACCACAAGGTTTAATACCACAAAAGGAAGGTTGGGATTGATTTTGGGGGTTATGGTACCAACAGTAAAGGAATTAGGGGCCAAAAAGGGGCCAAAAATAAGCATTTTTGTAACTTCCAGACATAACTTGTGTGTTAGTGTATGGATCTCTCTGACATTGTACCACAAGGTTCCATATCACAAAAGGAATGCTGGGATTGATTTTGGGGGTAATTGCCTCAAAATTTTAGGAATTAGGGGCCAAAAAAGGGGCAAAAAACAAGCATTTTTCTAGTTTCATGACAATAACTTGTGTGTCAGTGTATGGATCTTTCTGAAATTGTACTACAAGGTTCCTTATTACAAAGGGAAAGCTGGAATTGAGTTTGGGGGTAATTGCCGAAATGTTTAGGAATTGGGGGGCCAAAAAGGGGCCAAAAATAAGCATTTTTCTAGTTTCCAGACAATAACTTGTGTTCAAGTGTATGGATCTCTCTGAAATTGTACTGCAAGGTACCATACCACAAAGGGAAGGCTGGGATTGATGATGGGGGTAATTGCCTCAATATTTTAGGAATTAGGGGCCAAAAAGGGGCAAAAAGCAAGCATTTTTCTAGTTTCAGGACAATAACTTGTGTGTAAGTGTATGGATCTTTCTGAAATTGTACTACAAGGTTCCATATCACAAAAGAAAATTTGGGTTTGAATTTGGGGGTAATTGCCTTAAACGTTTAGGAATTTGGAGCCAAAAAGGGGCCAAAAAACACATTTTTCTAGTTTTCAGATAATAACTTGTGTTCAAGTGTATGGATCTCTCTGAAATTGTACTGCAAGGTACCATACCACAAAGGGAAGGGTGGGATTGAGTTTGGGGGTGATGAATCATAAGGGGGTTCAAAAAATATGGGGGGGGGATATTTTTTTTTTCCTTTATTTTCTTTCTTTCATTTTTTTTTTCTTTTAAAATTTTCCATTTTAAGTTGGTTATTTCTGATTTATATTTAAAAGCAAATAATAATGATATGGTAGGAGATACACACCAAAGAGGATGTGTAAATTATTATATAATAAGTATTGTGCAATAGCAAGAAATTTTCAATTGTACAGTATTGCACAATAGCAAGAAATCTTCAATTGCACAGTATTGCGCAATAGCAAGAAATCTTCAATTGCACAGTATTGTGCAATAGCAAGAAATATTTAATTGCACAGTATTGTGCAAAAGAAGATACTTTGTATAAATTGCTTATTTCTTGACCAATTTCAATGGGGTTTTATTCTTGGAATTCTTGGGGTTCTTTAATATGCTGAATCTAACTGTGTATTTAGTTTTTGGATTTTGGGCCCCGATTTTAAATTGGTCCACATTGAGGTCCAAAGGGTCCAAAATTAAACTTTGTTTGATTTCATCAAAAATTGAATTATTGGGGTTCTTTGATATGCCGAATCTAACCGTGTATTTAGATTCTTAATTTTTGGTTTCGTTTTCAAATTGGTCTACATTAAGGTCCAAAGGGTCCAAAATTAAACTTAGTTTGATTTTAACAAAAATTGAATTCTTAGGGTTCTTTGATATGCTGAATCTAAATATGTGTTTAGATTTTTGATTATGGGCCCAGTTTTCAAGTTGGTCCAAATCGGGGTCCAAAATTAAACTTTGTTTATTTCAACAAAAATTGAATATATGGGGTTCTTTGATATGCTGAATCTAACCATGTATTTAGATTTTTGATTTTTGGGCCCTGTTATCAACTTTGTCCACATTGAGGTCAAAAGGGTCCAAAATTAAACTTTGTTTGATTTCATCAAAAATTGAATTCTTGGGGTTCTTTGATATGCTGAATCTAACCATGTATTTAGATTTTGGATATTGGACCATAATAGGTGAATGTCCAATTTAAAATTTTTAAGTTCTTAGACCACATTCATTCTGTGTCAGAAACCTATGCTGTGTCAAATATTTAATCACAATCCAAATGCAAAGCTGTATCAAGCTTGAATGTTGTGTCCATACTTGCCCCAACTGTTCAGGGTTCGACCTCTGCGGTCGTATCAAGCTGCGCCCTGCGGAGCATTTTATTTGGATTGTTCAACCACCACATTTTTTCAAAGGACACGTGCGTAGTTTTGTTCCAATAGTAGTCGATATAAAATTGACTATAGAATTGGTATAATATACATTTCAGTCGATTAGTTATGCCCTATTTTCTTCAAAACTATATGTTTTTGCAATATTACACTAACATTATGAGGGGATTGAACTTGACAAAGAACTTGTGTTTTGCTGTTACTTAAAGGATCAGTGTTGAAAGTAACAATGGATATTCCAGGCTTGACACATTTATACGCCATGCTGTAATTTTATTTTTACTTGAATGTATTAAAATGATTCTTTTCAGTTGGGATACCAGATCTAAAAGCACATCTAAACCCAGTCACACAGTTGACGCCCACACAGCTGAAGTCAACTGTTTGTCATTTAATCCTTATAGCGAATATATTGCTTTTTACTGATCATATGAAGCTGTACAGTGACCTGCACTGGTTTATATCCTTGCTCTTGTGTTTTTTCACCTGGAGATTTGTCTCATTGGTAAAACAACATCGCCTGAATTTTGTATTTGGTGGACAAAGTGGTTAAGGAAGAAACCAATTTCTGGAAAAACAAGGAAAGTGGTCGAATGTTTTCAAAGCCATTTAAATCTTAAGAATGCCATTTGAAAATTGAGAAATTAGCAATTGAATTCAGAAAATACTTTTTAAAATTATTTATTGAGAATGAAGTGTTTTACTAGCTTGAAAAGCAACAATTTTGTATCTTGTTTATTAAAAAGTAACACTTTAATTGTATTTCTTTCTAGACAGTTAGACATATTTCTATATAGAATGAAATATCAATGAATTGTTAAATAATATTAAAAGTTCTACAAAGAAATATAAGGTTCACCATTTCTACTTCAAAAAGTTAATCACTGATAACAATCTTTGTTTTTGTAGACTGTTGCATTGTGGGATTTGGGGAATTTAAAGTTGAAGTTACATTCATTTGAGTCGCATAAAGATGAAATATTCCAGGTAAGTATTATTGCTTGAACTTTGAAGATGAATTCTGACAACATTCTGGATTCCTGGCCATGAAGACATTGAATTCATAAACAATGGCCTGGAAAATTTCGTAGTCTATCATTATACTTTCATGATATGATTAAGATCAGGGAACAGTAAATGGGCTATGGATTTTTCTTAAAAAACTTTGTTGTTGATACACAAATTTCCATTTTAATGATATAAAATGATCATATGGTCACAGATTTAGCTTTTTATCTAATAATCAATCTGTTACCTAGTTGTTAGTGAAAAACCGTAAAAACGAAGTCGGTGACCATATCATAATTTTGCATCATTTAAAAGGAAATTTCTGATTCACCAACACATAGTTTTTAAGAAAAATATATGTAGTAGAAATTAGAGATTTGATGATTTTAAGACAAGTTTTTTCACCGATTTTCTGAGCTTTCTATACGAATGTTCACTAATTTTTAAAGAATTCAATCAGTAATATTTCCGATGATAAAAGAGATAAATGCATGATTTTTTTAGATTTTCAGTTAAAGTTTAAAAAGCCAAAGTTGTATGCAAACATTTAGCAAAATCTGTGACATAGCCCTTTTTACTGTAACTTGACCTTAAGAAATTATTTTTTCAACAATTTTATACAGTAAAACCTCTTCTATTGTCAAATTACTTTAACATGTTCGTGTCCTGAAAAATGCTTGAAAGATGACCTGTTGGCCACTCACCCTCAATATTTCAAATTAAAAAAAAAAAGATATTTCTATGACATAATTGAAGTTGTGGATAAGTCTATGTCCAGGCAAATGTAACTGCATTTGCAGCATAAAGCAATCACAAATCAATCTTGAACTTGAAACTTAAAACAAAAATGTACAAGTCAGACTTTGTTCAAACTAATATTTCACATGATTACATAAGAACTATAAGTCACTTTTATCAATATTAAAAGGGAAGAAGGGAGTACCTATGTTACTGCACTTGAGGTTTAAAAAAAAGTCCAGATAAGATTTAATAACAAATAGAAGAAAGAATTTTGCTGCATTAGACTTAACCTGTTTATTCCTTTGACATGACTAAAACTATTGTATTTATTAACAGGTTCAATGGTCCCCACATAATGAGACAATTCTAGCCTCCAGTGGAACAGATAGAAGGCTCCATGTATGGGATCTTAGGTTTGTGTTATTTTACTTATTTATTGTAGCTCTTGACCCTTAAAAGTTGGGGCTACATTGCATTCACCCTGTCTGTGTGTCTGTCCGTCCATTCAACAAACATATATTTCAATCACACTTTTCCCAGGAACAACATAACAGATTGACATTATATTTAGTTGGATGCTTGATAGTGATGAATTCTATTGCATGAAGACTTCTGATCTGTTTGAAATTTTGAATTTTTCAATATGATTAATGAACTTACAATTTAAGTCATGTTTTTCTTAAGTACTACTGAATAGAGTGATTTTAAAAGCAGCCTAACAGTAATGAGTAGTAACATTTGCGTGCCTTTAGGAACTGTTGGACACCTGCTTCCTGTTTTCAGATACTTTCAATTATGAATGGGGTATGCTTAGCACGACAACACATGCATTCTTGTTCTAAAATTACATTGTATTCTAAAGCAGTTTACTTAAATAATTTGTTTGCCAAATCCATACATTGACAATTTGTCTGGTTTAGAACCGGGCTACAATTGGCCAAGGGAAACAACTTGTGTTAGAAGTGTGAAATCGCAGAATTAAATCGGTTATTGGCAAATTGGCAGATTGACAATTGTGTTATCAAAACTCAATTGTTGATATAAAACAAAAGTGTTATAATGGCTGTTCCAAAATTTTCCTGTGGGAGGCACTCAAATAAGTAACATGTGTTGTTGAATTTTCTTAAGTAAAAATTATCGGTAAAATGAAAATTTTATTAATTGTTGGTTGGTGTCTTATAAAAGTGCTTCACATACCCTGTAAGTCTTGAACAGTCCCAATTTATTCATTACTAGCCTATTATATATAGACAAAACATTTGCTTAAAATTTAATAACACAAGAATTGTTTAAAAGTTGACTATGCTTGTTTTAATATTAAACCTCAGTTGGGACATATTTATTTATATTTACAGTAAAATGGGAGAAGAGCAGTCAGCAGAGGATGCTGAAGATGGACCACCAGAATTATTGGTAAGTTTACTTTCTTAATTTATTGAACTGGTGACCTCCACTTTTGTTTGACAAGTCCCTCTGACATTTTCTTCATTATGATAGATCATTGATAAACTTAAAGTTTATATGACACCTGCAGTAAGACTGATCTTTTCAAGACTAAACATAGAATAAATTTTTAATCAGCAAAGCAGGGGAGACAATTTACTATGTGCACACTTGTATTCCAATGTCATAGCAAATGTATCTGGAAACATTTAAAACAAAATTTGTTTTATGCCTCTTGTTGAGAAATTTTAGGTATTGTCAATTCATTCCTTAGACATGTTAGGGATATATTTGTGAATATTGCAACAAATTCCATTTACATTGCTAATACAAGAAATATAATTTTGTACACAGTATTCAGTCACAGTTCTGTGTTTTAATTCATTTATTTCTGTTGATAAAACAAAGTGATTCTTAATATGTGAATTTTATTTTTACTTCAAGTGAAGTTTTAGAAATTATAAGATATGTGGTTACAGTTGTCATGAAAACAACTTAGAAATAATACTTGAAAAGTTCAGATCTAAGAGTACAGTTACTGAAAGCTAGTTTGTTTTGTTTGCAAGAATAGTGACATAATTATATTTTATGGCATGCTTATTTTAGTTTATACACAGAGGACATACAGCAAAGATCTCAGACTTCTCTTGGAACCCAAATGAAACCTGGGTATTATGTTCAGTATCAGAAGATAACATCATGCAGGTCTGGCAAATGGTAAGTGTGGTAAATTATTGTATAAAATAAGTAAACAGAAAGATGGAATACAGGGATTATAAAAGAGAGGCGAAAGATACCAGAGTGACATTCAAACTCAAGTCAAAAATAAACTGACAACGCCATGGTTAGAAAAGAAAAAGACCATAGACGAACAATAATACACAAAGCACAACATAAAAAAACAAACTAGAAATTGAAGTTGAAAAAAAAAAATTGGCAAAATATTTACATTCTTCAAGTGTCTGTACAACATGTCTTAATTTACCCAATTCTCTTGTAATTTGGGGAAAGGGAGTGAACAAATTTAACAGACTATCTGACAGAGATCAGCAACTTCACTTTGTAAAGATCGTAAAGATATAACTGAACAACTGACAAGATTTCTGACCTGAAATATTCATGAAATGTTATTCCAAAAAGAGGTTGTGCACAATTATAGGGTATTATCCCTTTACGTTATACTCATGTTTTGAGTGAACTCAATTAAGGATATTCCAGAAACGTGTCATTGAAATGAAAAGATAATAACATGGGCAGTGTAAATATATCATTTATTAACTCTCTCATTGTTCGTCCTATGAGCTGTAAATTTGATGCCCTTACAACATAGTCATTCTAAAATTAAATAAGTGTCCTGATTTTTGTTTTCTCATGCCGGCTGATTTTGATGGTGGTGTTGCAGATTGACATTGCTAGTCATTCTGGCTTCATATCTACAAATTAGGTTTAGAACTATCTTTGTATCGTGTTTTTATACCCCGCTTTTAAAAAGAGGGGTCATACTGTTTTACCTCTGTCTGTCCATCCAATGAATATTTTTCTTTGCATCTTTCTCAGGAACTACATCATAAGGATTTCTGAAATTTGGTTTCAGGGTTTATATAAGTCAGTGATGCGTTTTCCGATTCATCACTCAACAACTTCCTGGGCGGGCGGGGTTATCATCAGTGAACAGTACCTCGCAGTTTCACTTGTTTGTTCAATTGTAACTCGTCATAAAATATTTGCTATTTTTCAGGCTGAGAATATCTACAATGATGTAGAGCCTGATACTCCAGCAACAGAATTAGAGGCTACTGCATCATAATGTATGCGACTTCAGAATCATTAAACATTATAACATACTGACTTTAGATAGCAGTGCTGATAAATTATTCATGTAAATCTTGTCATTAAAAATACATTTTAAACAGTCTTATTGTAGAAGACAAGACATGTTATTCCATGGTAAAACATCAAATAAGTTTTACATTTAGTTTCATTCTACTAAAGGTAAAATAGTTTATCTATGTTTTGTATATAAAAATACCTTGTGGTTGTAAAACAATGTTTTGTTGTGTAATTTTATCCTCAAACCTTGCTTTTATCTCCCACAGTGGGGGACATATTCATAGTTTTCGTCTATCCAAAATCACAATAGATGGATCAAAAATGTTAACCATACTATACTGTCATTTGGATTTTATCATTTTTGCCATTTATTTTTTGAAACTTTCAGACAATAATGTTTTATAAATGTAAATTCAAGAAGACTTTTTGCCAGAAAACTTCATTCTTGGTTTATATATTTGTTATCACTATTAATTTTAGGGGCTATGTTGAATTCACCTTGTGTGTCCTTTTGTCCTTCGAACAAATATTTCAGTCACACTTTTTCGTAGTAGTTTGACTGATAAATGTGAGAACTTTTTATATTTGTTGGATTCCTTCCTGTTTGTTGATACTTTAAAATTTTTGTCACTTTTCTCAAGTACAACTGAACAGAATGACCTCATATATGTCAGCATCTTTGCAGCGATGAAATATAATGCGAGGGCTTTTCTTATTAATCAAAACACATACTCCCTACACTCTGATACTTTGAATTATGAGTTGGATATGCTTAGCACAACAAAGCTTGCAATCATTTGACTTGAACACATTGCAAAAAAGCATTTAGTATGTTACTGATTTTTTTTTCCAGGTTCATCTAAATTTGACCATATTTTCATGGATCATTTATAGTGATAACCGCCATGGTGGTCGACACAATATTGGCCTCAAGTGCAAGGTTTGAACCTGTGCGGGTAAAACCAATGATTTAAAAATTGGTATTTACTGGTTCTCTGCTCTAGGCAGGTGGCATTAAAGAGTAAGAGCAAAGACTGGTTGACCTGGAGTGGGAATAATGTGTCTGGGTAAAGTGAAATGTCTTCCTGCGGATTGTTGCCTTGTGAACTAGCATGTTAAAACATCTGGCTCAGCATGTCGGTCTAATACAAAGCAGGGATAATATTCATATTACATTAGCATGTTCTCGCCTTAATATGCATATAAATTTACCACTCCATAAGAATTTGACATCTAACCTTGACCTTCCTCTTTATTGGTAAAAATAACAGTACACACATATATATATATATACGTATAGAAATGTAAATACAAATTAAAAAAAAAAAAAACATTTACATATTTGGATTCAATACCACAAAGAATACAAACTAAAAATAAATTAATTTTATAGTTTGATTATAAGGTCCATGACAACTTTTTGGAATTGAACTAGTAATAGCTGTCTTGTCCTTTAGAACTTCTAAATTGTATTGCATGTTAAAATTGTGTCAACTATTTTCAACATTTATATTTGAAGTGTCTATCTGGCTTAAATATAAAAAAACGCATTTGATTTGGTCTCCAATAGCATATCAATCTAATAAATAAGTGGTCTGTATCAAGATGTTTGCCGTTTCAGGCTAGTTTTCCCCAGTAAGCTAGAACAAAGTTGCCTCCTTTTCATTCAGTTGGGATGTATATTCAATCATTGTACTGAAATGGCAAATAATCTGGTTAGTTCATAAATTAATATTTACTTAGTAAACTAAAATTCTAGTTCTTGCACACCTTTTGTTGATTACTATGTTGACCTTGAGATGTCTTTCATTTTATCTGTTAATATATATTTTTCTGAATATGGTAAATTACATAAAGTACCTAAACTATTTTATTGTTATGATCGGGATAATAACCAGAATATTAAATTTGGCATTTCTGATAAGAACTGCAATAAAATTCAAAAAACATACTTTTGCATTTGTCTAATATGCCCATCAATATGAAATTTGTTTAGAAAGTTCAACATTATTTTGCATGTCAAGAAACTGTTGTCTAAAAAATGTAACCCCTTGAGTTAGAAATGGTAGGTCTTTCGTTTCTGGTTGTCTGGTAATTCAAGAAATCTCTAGATAACTTTTGGTTAGAATGATTGCAAATACTGAGTTAGCTCCCCTTAATTGTTAATTTCTAGTGCCTTTCAACCAAATTATATCTTGATTTACTAGAACAAGCAAAGGAAACAATTTTAATTTCGTACACTATTATATAATTTGAACATAAATAAATGTCAACTTGAGTGGGTTTTTTGTTTGTCATGTTTTCACCACTGCCTGATTCTTTGGCAGATTGGCACTTGAATCGTATGGTAAGGGTTAAGGGGAAATAAACAGCTGCGCATGATACGCCCGTCGCGTTTTCAAAGAATAAAGCTCAATTACTTCTCAATGTCATATCAGAAATTTATAAACATCGTAAGGGAGCTTACGTCAATAGATATAAACAATTCACCAAAGTTTCATGAGAACTGCTGAAAGCATTTTTGAGTTATTGTACGAAAACTTTAAAATCCCCCCTTTTTAAATGAATAAAACCCCACAACTCGGAAACATAAAATCTAAAATTTATAACAATCGAAAGAGAGCTTACGTCAATAGATATAAACTATTCACCAAAGTTTCATGAGACCTTCTGAAAGCATTTATGAGTTCTTGTCCGAAAACTGGAAAATCCCCCTTTTTTAATGAATAAAACACCGTAACTCGGAAACATTATATCTTAAATTTATAAATCGAAAAGGAACTCATATCAATAGATATAAACAATTCATCAAAATTTCTTGCAAATTGGTGAAAGCATTTTTGAGTTATTGTCCAAAAACTGGAAAATCCCCCTTTTTTAATGAATAAAACCCCATAACTCGGAAACGTAAAATCTAAAATTTATAAAAAACGAAAGGGAGCTCATGTCAATAGATAGGTTAAAGCGTTTTTGAGTTAATGTCCAACATGTTGACGACGGACGGACAACGGTATACCATAATATGTCCTGTAAACGGGCGTATAAAAACTGAATCAATTTTAAAAAGTTCTTATTCATGCCCATTAGATTTAATTTTGGAATAGCCAATGCCTAATAAAGTTAATTTTAACTCAATATACCTCCTGCATCAATTTGTCATGTGCTTTTACATTCCATAATTTGTCTGGTTTCATTAGTTTGTCGTTCAATCTCAAGTCAAATATTTCAAAGGCTTGAAGCATCTGGAAAAAGATTCATTTTTGTATACCTTAATATTTTCTGACTTATTCAATTATTTTTCTACACCAAATATAATTTTTCTACCAATTTTAAACTTTATATCACAACAAGCTGTGAAAAAAACAGTTTCTGCAGGTAAACAATTTTTTTCATTTTATTTCATTTAACTCTTGGATCATCAACAAAATTAGAAAATCATGAAAAATTTTGTGCAAACTCGGCTAGAAAGCGATAAATTAAAAAATGAATAGGTTTATTATATGTGTTGTATCATTCCTTTTTGTAATCAACACTATTAATTAAAAGTCTAATTCAAACTAACATTTTTGAGGAAATAATTTCTTCAAAAACAAGCCTTTAGGAAAATGTCATCGATATATTTTACAGGCTCTGCTAGTGTGAATTCCAAATTGTATTGATCATTCCCTGTGGGGTCTTACAAATTAAGTTCATTTCTACTATATGAAGTAATTATACAAACCTGAAAAGCACATCTGTTGAATGGCATTCTACCAACAGCAGTCCCAAGACCAGGACAAAGAACCCCTCTGATTGGCTGATTTTCTGGGTTTCTGTTGTGTTTCTGTACTGCAATAGAATATACACAGTAATGAGTAGATGCATTTATCAATTATGACGGGTTCTTCTACAGCAGTTCTTTATTTTAAATACAAATTGTACTGAGGTTCAAAGAAGTAGAGAGGGGGGGGGGGGGGCACTTTTTAAAAGTAAATGATTATATTGAAACAAGGCAATTATACATACTAAACCTTCTCTGTTTGACCTAAGAGTGACTAAGGGACAGAAATATGGTCATATTGATCTTCTTCCTACTGGCATCAAACCCTTGCCTAAGTGGAGAAAACAATCGGCAAGGTTAATTTTTTCTATGTAAAGACCTGTCAAAACAACTCCCTTTTATAAAAAGAAAAGCATAATAATCAAAGTAATAGAATCAGAAATGATTTACGAAGATATGTAAATACCTGCCAAAATGACTCCTCTAAAAGACAGATAAGCATTAGTTGAGTTTATGACATCTTTTGGTACTCTTTTTGTTGGGACGTGTATGAGGTATTTGATTGGTTTACCATTACTTATATTATTGGTCTTTAACTTCTGAATGTGTACTTTGTCTGGATCTTTGTCATAGGCTGGGATAATGATTGCATTTCCCTACAAAATACAAATTTTGAATAAAATAAGGTTAGATGCCAACACAACAAAAAGAAAAGAAGACACATGCCTTAATTTAGTGGTTGTTGTTAAAATAACTGTTTTTGTGTTTTTATTAATTGTTTTAGCATAAATAAGCTGTTGCTTTTCCTGTTTAAATAGTTTTACAATTTGTTCGTGTATTTTATAAATACAATATGTCATGCACCATATACAAATTTTGAATACATTGAAATTTTTTAGACGTTATTATGAAAGACCTGTGAACAGTATATATAATAGTAGTCAATATATATGTTCCTGGAAAGACCTACCATCAATACCATCAATACCAAATCCCAAATGCACTCACTGACAAAACAAAATGCATTGTTAGATCTGATGAGGTAGTAAAACCTTTATTTTACAAACTTTCAACATAAATTCGATCATGATAAGTACAACAGGCAAGACTTTTCAGCGTGTGCACTTTTGTATTTTAAAATTACAATTCTCCAAAATACAGATCAAGTTCGAATTTTGGTCCATGGCGTCACCTTTGCCGTTCTTGGGTTATATCCATTTGTAAATTAAAAAAATTGCAGAATTTGCCGTATATATTTCAAGCTGGGGCATCTGTGTCCGATAGCCAATGGGACATAAATGTCCTTATTTATAATGGAATAATTCTAACAAAGTTGTACTCTACTCACCACAAAGTTTTCTCCATCATACTGATCTCTTATTACTTTCTGTATCTGTTCTTGTCTGAAAAAAAGGTAAAATATTAGACACTTATCAACTGCAATATATATATATATAACAACTAATGTATATGACGATGATGGAAGTTTTTAACGAGCTTGTAGTTTGATTTAAGGGAAACTTAAGAAACAGAATATTTTAAATTCTATTAATGGCCAGTAATATGGGCTGAAACGATAATTTACTGTTCCAATGTATTAACTTAATTAAGGTAAACATATGTAATTTACAGCTACTCAGTTATAAAAGTTAGCCTCATGTTCCCCTAGTTGTCTCCTAAACCTATCATTAGCATTAGAACAGTGATAGCAGTATATTATGACGGGCAAAAAGAGCTTTGGCACTGCCCATTCATCTTCTAGAAGGGAGAGGCACGTTGTTTGTTTTTTAATTTAAAGCTTTTTTATTCTAAATCTTCTTGAAATAAATACTTATGAAAGAAAGTTAAAGAAATAGTATATTTCTTTTGAAAATTAGCCAAAAAAAAAATAGAAAAGAACACTGATATAAAAAAAAAAAAATCTTGCTCCTGTATATTATTAATTATTGTCTGCAGTGAATGCTTCATTTCAATGTATGCCAGGTTTTTGTTAAAATTGATTTTGACTAAAATTTAGAAGTAAATACTTGACAATACGTTTCCGTAAATGAAGGAAAACGCATATATAAGACTCACATTTCCCATCCAAACAGCTCAGAAAACACACGATCTATCCCACCATCCATAAATCCAAAGGCATTTGCTGGAGAGACCTGTTGAATTAGAACTGAAAATTAATGTGCACGACCTGGAATCAACCTTTCTGCACTGAGAATAAATTCAACTTTGCTTTCTCTAAATATTCATGTGGACAAATGTCCTGAAAATGCTGGTCTCTTATGATGTGGCACAGTGCGCAGACCATTAAAGTTTTCCTGTGTTCAAGATGTATGCACTCGTATTTTAACAGTTATATATGTCATATTTGTATGCAAGAAAACTTCTCATATACGTACTTCTTCGTCTTACCCTTATTTTGTGAATGTATGGAGATAATCTTGATGTGCCCCTTAACTGTCTACCAAAATGTTTGTCTAGTTTCTGTATTTTAGAGTGAAAATGACTAGCAATCTATTACAGTATTTTTTAAAATTCTTTGTCAGATATAATTAGAAAATTGTTGATTTAAGAGGGTCTGGAATGGGGGGGGGGGTCCTTCATTTCGGTATTCTTCAATTTTTCCGGCCATTTTTCTCTTTTCTTTATATCTCAATTCATTATTTTTTGGGTCCATTATTCTCTATTGTTTATACTTTTTGCCCATTATTCTCTATTCTTTATATTTTAGCACCTCATATTATTCTTATTCTCTATTCTTTATATTTTAGCACCTCATATTATTCTTATTCTCTATTCTTTATATTTTAGCACCTCATATTATTCTTATTCTCTATTCTTTATATTTTTGCCATTATTCTCGATCTGTAAATCCCCTTCCACACCTCATATTACCCTGTATGTGTATTTTTTTTGGGGGGGGGGGGGGGGGCTCCACTTCAAGCAAAGATATCCTTAAATATGTGCTTGCGTTGGACTCCTTGAACTTGTATTGAGGTGAGCGTATTTGCTCCATACTGAAGGCCTCACTGAACTTGTGACTTTTTTCATTTATTGTGTTTCTAAATATGCAAAGTGATTTGACTGTTTTAAATTGATACACCATATCTTTTTAATTATTAATTAGCAACCAATAATCGTATGCTTCCTAACACTGAACTGTATTGATACAAATGTAAGTTATATTGGTAAGAGGAAGACACATGTGAAAGAATATACCCTAATACATCACAAACCAAAGCAATATATTCTGATATAAGTATTAGTACTTACAACAGCATCTACTTCAGGAGTACCAACTAATATATCACCCTCTGTAGACTGAAATATAAAAACACACAACCTATACCGACAGGTACTTCTCAATGGTGAAACCTATTACAGGGGGATAGACAAGCTCACTGCTCTAGTCAGAAAAGACTGAAGCAGATATTTAGCCTGAATGTCAGGCTACACGAGGGGATGGGGATCCTTCATCACTGTATTCTTTCATTTTTTATGTCTGACTCATTTGTCTCTATTCTTTACATATCTTGCCCTTTATAATCTCTATTCTTTATATATTTTGCCCATTATAATCTCTATTCTTTATATATCTTGCCCATTATAATCTCTATTCTTTATATATCTTGCCCATTATAATCTCTATTCTTTATATATCTTGCCCATTATAATATCTATTCTTTATATATTTTGCCCATTATAATCTCTATTCTTTATATATATTCTTTATATATTTTGCCCATTATAATCTCTATTCTTTATATATTTTGCCCATTAAAATCTCTATTCTTTATATATTTTGCCCATTATAATCTCTATTCTTTATATATTTTGCCCATTATAATCTCTATTCTTTATATATATTCTTTATATATTTTGCCCATTATAATCTCTATTCTTCATATGTTTTGCCCATTATAATCTCTATTCTTTATATATCTTGCCCATTATAATCTCTATTCTTTATATATTTTGCCCATTATAATCTCTATTCTTTATATTTTGCCCATTATAATCTCTATTCTTTATATATCTTGCCCATTATTATCTCTATTCTTTATATTTCCGAACAACATTATTCTGTATTCTTTATCTTTTTAGCTATTTTCCTTATTCTTAATTTTTGTGCCCATTTTCTGGAGTATTGGCCCATTATTCCCTACACTGTACATTACATTATGGAGCACTCTTTTTCCCTGTGCATGTCGACCTTGCTTTCCTCCTAAATTAAATGGTGTATAAGAATGTGAGTGAATTGTCTATAGATCCAGTCCAGTGCGGGATTTTCTCGCTGCATTGACGATCCATTGGTGGCCTTCAACTGTCTGCTCTTTGGTCGGGTAGTTGTCTCTTTGACATATTTCCCATTTCCATTCTCAATTTTATTTGCAAATTCGTTCTATATCTCTCAGCTGAGACACTGATATAAGGTTGTTCCTAGAACAGTCAACTAAGAATTCAAGAAGGTCCTCATCAGAATTAAATATACTGTAATAAGGGATCTGATTATCCTCCAGTAGGGATTTGAGTCTATTGTAATGAATTTTTCTCACACTATTCAGACTTTCACACGTAACTAGGAAGTGTTTATAATCCTCAGATCCTACCATGAACAATTTACATTCTGCAGATTTTGTTTCGTCAAATCGGTTGGTAATACTTTGGGTTTTGTATATTCCTGTAAGTATCCTGAATTTTATTATCCCTTTGCTAACATCTCTTTTGTGATCTCTGACACTGCTCCAACAGAAGTCTGGTTTTTTAAAATTCCAGTTGTTAACTTCCATGTATTTGAGTGTTGTTTTGCTTCAAGCAATTTCGGTCCATCTATTTTTTCAGGCTGTGTCTATTGCATCGTGAGTCAATCGTTTCCAATTTTTCTCTGGATTAAGTATAATATCATGTGTGGATGGAAGTTCATAGGATTTGAGTATTTTGTCCACGTTTATGTACCAACTATTTGATTTATCGTCTTTTAGTTCTAGATGTCTAATTCCAATTTTACAATTTTGATATTCTGAGAAATAGGGAAATGACAGCTTTAAGTATGAGTTGTTCGATAGTTTCTGCTCCGAGCAAGATATAGATAGCAGCATCAGCAGTTCTTTGTGGTAAAGACAGAAGCTGTTTAAATGTCTTTTTTTGGAAAGTTTTTAATTTTTGGATATCAGTTTTGGTAATGTTGAGAATTTCAATTCCACAGAGCATATTCTTTGTATAATTGGTACATTCTGTCATTTAAGGGCAATAACTCCTACAAGAAGTCGTCTGACAATTTTGACATATACGGACATTAAGTAGAGCTCAACATTCTGAACATTTTTGCAACCGTCGGATTTTCTCTATTCATAACGGTTTTAAAATAATAGACAAAACTTGCATTTTAACCCTATGTCCTATTTTTAGACATGGCGGCCATGTTGGTTAGCAGGCGGGGTCATCGGACACATTTTTTAAACTAGATTCCCAAACAATGATTTAGGCCAAGCTTAGTTAAATTTGGCTCAATAGTTTCAGAGGAGAAGATTTTTGTAAAAGTTAGTGAACATCGACAGACGACGATATCGGTGGAAGCCAGACGATGGACGCCAATTGATGAGAAAAGCTCACTTGGTCCAATGGGCCAGGTGAGCTAAAAATGGCTATAATGCTGCAATTTGTATATTCTTTCTTTATTCAGTTTTCTTATGTTCTTTTCCTTGTTTTTTTTGTTATTCGAAGCTGAAATGGGTGCTTATATAATTAACTAATCGACTCAAAAAATATTCTGTAACCAAAAGCTTAAAGACAACAGTATTACTGAACTATATATAGCTACCAGCTTCAACTTAAAGTTACAATGTACAATTTCAGACCTTAATTAAGCCTCAGAATCTATAATCCTATATCCTATCTACACCCCCTACTATAAACCATGAATTCATACTTTTTTTTAACTTGAAATTCATTTGTTATTTGCAAACATAAACACATGCACCTCTACAAAAAATTAAATACAGTAAAATTAACTTTGAATTCGTGAAAATGGCAGGGAAAGAGGAATTTCGTAAGCTTTCTTGATTGCTGTAATATTTATTTGTAGCCATGATAATTAGGGATTTTCAAGCTGCTAGCTAGCTTGCAAGGTAACAATTTACATATTGACATGCTATCCTCACTCTTAAGCTCAGTAAGCTGCATGACTGACAGAAAAGTATCATATATACACAATAAAAGTAGTTCAACCTCAAATTTGATTTATCCAATGCACATGGGCAATAACTAAATAAAACACTTTTTTTTGTTCTTTAAAACAATTTATATATATCTTACAGAAATGAAGGCTTCAGAGCAAACGCAATGCGAATTCTATTATAATAAATTTTTCCAAGGGCATAACTCTTTAAAACTAGAGGCTCTAAAGAGCCTGTGTCGCTCACCTTGGTCTATGTGCATATTAAACAAAGGACACAGATGGATTCATGACAAAATTGTGTTTTGGTGATGGTGATGTGTTTGTAGATCTTACTTTACTGAACATTCTTGCTCCTTACTATTATCTCTATCTATAATGAACTTGGCCCAGTAGTTACAGTGGAAAATATTTTGTAAAAATTTACAAAAATTTACAAAATTTATGAAAATTGTAAAAAATTGACTATAAAGGGCAATAACTCCTTAAGGGGTCAATTGACAATTTTGGTCATGTTGCCTTA